TTAATATAAATAAATACGAACCTTCCTCTTATAATAGTAATCGAGCCTGTATGTGTAAAATTCCTTTGGAATTTCTTTGGGAGAATCATATTTTCGAATACGACCTTCGCGTCATCAAAACACACCAAGTTCGACATTCCGATGGGTGAGCTCATCATGAATCGTTTTTCAAGTCCTTCTTCTAAAGAATCTTTTAGACTTTCTGACGATAATTTGATCGTAAAATCTATGGTAGTTGTCGTATGTTGTTTGTTCTTTGTAATCCTATTTATAAAAAAAATAAATTAATAGAATATTAAAAATTCTAAGGCAGATTAAATACATAAAAAGTTTACGTACGATGATCCATGGCATTTTATCTGTTCCAGATATACATTTCTCAAGTTGTTCTTTATAGTTTTGCGTCCATACACGAATTGGTAATTCGGTTATTGGATTAAGTCATCATTAACACTGATTTTTCCATAATTCTTGTATTTGCCATTGCTAATTTCCTCAATATCTCACTATAAATTATTAGAAAAATGATTTAATATAAAGAGAATTAAATGTCTGTTAAAGGATTCTTTTAAAGGATTATCATTCAAAATGTTACCTGGAACCCACGGTACCACGGGTGGTTTCTTCATTATTGATTAATCGTTTTAAATTATCAAACGATTTCTTGAGGATTATAATTTGGGATAGATGAACTCCAATCTTATAATTATAAGATGAATCAATTTATTATGCGATATGTAAGATACTAAAAATGCCCGGGGGGGGGGTTTAAATTAACTCACCGGTTCCGATTCCCTCAGATCCATTAACAAGGACCATTGGCAGAATTGGCAAATACCATTCTGGTTCAACCAACTGACCATCATCATTACGATATGATAGAAGTCATCTTGTGGGTTGAAGATCTTTCATGTTGTGTCGAGGATAAGTGATGCTGATATAACGAGCGCAAGCTTGCATCCTTGCCCCCTGGAGCCCTTTTGCCGAATTGACCCTCGCCATTAAGGATATTGACGTTGTTTGAAACAACAAAATCGTAAGCCATTCCGATAATAGTACCTTGAAGACTTGCATCACCATGATGATATGCCGCTTGTTCTAAAACAGCCCCGGATAGCGAAGAAACTTTAATTTCTTTCTTATAATTCTTCTTTCTTTGCCCAGCTTTAAACCGTCGAGAATACTTGAAATCGAACGTTCATTGTCGGCTCGAATGAACAAGATCAACTCTTTATTATTAAAATCCGTTTTCGTGATCTTGCGATCATCAGCTTTCTTTTTTATTAAAGGCCATATCGATCAACTCTCGATCTCTTTTTTTCATAGGTGCAAAAGGTTTCTTTATGACGCTTTAAATTCTTAAAATATAGTCTAGCTTCTTTGGTATTTGAAGTGCCAAGACCCTAGGAACAGGAGTATTTATCATATTATTTACATCACTTTTTGTAAAAAATATCTATAAATGAAAATTACCTTGTAATATTTGACCTTCCAATTTTTAGCATCAGGGGGTCTTCGCCTTCCAATTTTCATACTCAGGCATAGTGAAGAATGATAGATACTTCTTTATCACCCTTCGTACACTAATAAAAAAAATTGTTTAATGATTATTGGATCTCAAAAGATTATTGCATTAGCTTGATTGAATGGTTTCATACCTTACAATTAGTGTGATAAATTCCCATAAGAAACCCGGAATATTTAGCAAGGAGGGAAAGGAATGATCCAAGAAATTGAAGATCAATCCTTTTATATGGCTTCCATCATGATCTTGATCCGTCATGATCATCAGATGCCCTTATTTGTTGATGTATATTCTTTTCCTTGCTTCAGTCCAAGGATTTGCTTTATTTGTTGAATTTCTGTATTATACATGATCTGAGAGTGG